ATACATTAAGTATATATAAATCGGAGAGACATACTAGTTTTAATGGTCATGACTTAAGAACATCTTGAGCCACTAGTCTCCTTAAATTGATACTCTATTTAAGGAATTGGTTTTCAGTGAGACTTAGTCTCTAACCGCCTTTCCTTGGAGTATATTTAGATTTTCCCATCACAATCTGGTATAATCTGTTTGTCAAAATTTTAAGTATTTCTTGCCAATGTGATTTTATTTCGGTTCATTAAAGACTAGCAAAAGCATCTTTAATTTATTGAAATATCTTGAGTTTTCAATCTTGGTTAATTAAGAAAATGCTACAGCATATTTGGCTACCTAAGATTGTTAAGTTTTAATCATATAAAGTTTAGGCAAGAATTTGATAATTGTCTAGTGATCTTATAATTTTAATTTGGTTTTGGATTAGCCACAGCATCCTTAATCTGTTAAAATTATATATTAAGCGGTTTATTTTGATCACATAAAGTTTTAGAGATATCATTTGTGATTAATTGTATGTAATATGATGAAATTTAGCCCACAGGCAATTTCGTTATATTTGTATAATTAATCAGGATGAAATACTGGACTACAGTCATAATTTAGCCCACAGGCAATTATGTATCGGAATGTAGTTTAGTAGTTTTATCAGTGACGATAGAAATAAATCAATTTATTTACTTTATGGTTATTTGTAAATAATTTCCAATTCTATCATGAAGTTTAATTTTATGATGTAAACTTTAGATCATATTTCTTAATTTGCCCACAGGGATTAAGAAAATGAACATGATTTCTTAAGTTTTATCATAATGGTTGTAGTGAATCTTATTGACTAAAACTTTAGCCTACAGGCAAGTTTTATGTCATTTGATTCTTCAACTCATTTGATAATGGTTTCATCATAAATAAATTTTTCAGTTGGATCTAATTGAGTAAAACTTTAGCCCACAGGCAAGTTTTATGTCTCTAGATTCTTCTGGCTCTTTAGTAATTGTGGAAAATATTATCATAAGGGTTTCTTAATTGGATTTCATAGAATTAAAACTTTAGCCCACAGGCAAGTTTTATGTCAATAAATCCCTCAACCCATTAGATAATAATTTTATCACAATTCTTAGAATTTATAAATTTAGTTCAATTATAATTCTAAGTTTCATGGTTTGCATTGGCAAAACATGTTTTTCAGTCACTTCCCAAAATTTAGCAACTTTTATTAATTGATCCACGAATCTTGCTCGGTTCTTCGGACTAACTGTAGTAAGTTACGTGATTTGACATACATATTTTGGATTCCATTAATAATAAAATGTATTTTTTTGAGCCAAATTCTAACTTGGTTTTGGAAGGTGTATTTTTATTTTAGTATGTCCGACTATGGTGGGGATTATATCTTCATTATTTAGTTAGACTTTAATTGGAACCAAAAATTGATTATTTAGTATGTCCAACTAATGGTGGGGAATTATGTCTTCATTTGTTAGTTGGTCAATAAATCAATTATGAGTATGTATGTTATTAAGTTCATTTTATTAATTTCGCTGAAGAATGTTTTAATCAGTGGGAGTGATCATTTAGAAAAGGATCATTAAGATACTCCACTAAAGTTTATGGATTTAAATGGCTTCATACATCCTAAATTTGATTGTATGTCAAACAATAAGTCCATAAGATTCCACAAGTATTAATCTTGTATTTGTTCATATAAATTCATAAGTTCAAATTATTGAACATTTGGTTGTGCAACATATTTATGAAAATGTTGTAACAATATTAAGGAATTTATTATAACAAAACATTTAACTTGTGGTGCACTGTCAATTAATAAATTCTTCAGTGATTAATAGGGTCTTTAGTTTCTTCAAAATTGATCCTGTGCCATTTTGGTTTGTAAGGCTCAGAACAATTTTGTGGGACACATAAGTAAGACTCATTATGTTCCGTTCATTTAAAGTGAACATTGAAGTTATTTGGGAAGTTATGGTGTATGATTAAGATTCCAAATTCATGGACTTAGACCTTTGGTTTATTGTCTAAGTTATTGGAATGCTTCTGTGACTTGACTATCTTTTGGCAATTTTTGATGAGTGGGAGTGACAGACGTGTCAACTTCAAGCTCTTAGCTGTTAGAGATAGTACTTAAAGTTAACTTATAAAGAAGTCATGGAATATAGTTAGCATTATGCTAACATTAAGAGATCTCTACTTAAGGCATGCTTATAAAGTTTTAGAGATCATACAGTATACTCTTCTGTACAATTTGGATGTGTTTCTCCTTCAGTTGTGCACATAATGTATTTTGAGAAACATCCCTTAAGGTACCGAGAATAAACATAGGATTTGTTCATTAAGGACCTAAGTTGAAGAATTAAAATGCATGTGACCATAATGGATACTACTCTGATTAAATAGAGGACATATCACTATGATTCGTGTGTTTTGTTCTTTGATGATGGTTGTGCTGGTACTTGCACCAAGTGGGAGAATGTAAGATTTTCCCTTATAATATATATTGATATTATATATTAGGGCCTTAATTAAGTGGTGCAAGTTGACTAGGCTTATTAAGTGGTGTGGTTGGACTTAATAACTAGTAGTTGTTAGTCAACCAAACTCTGTGCCTAATATAATCCTGGATTGATGGGATACAGGATGGTTGTTGTTAGCACATTCAGTTACGGTACTCAGACCGCTCAGTAAATACCAATACACCATCTAGGGTTCTGAGTCAGGTCTGAGACAAAACATGGCTGACGGTTTACCGTTAAGAGTGACAACACGACAGGAACATCAACTATGGCTGGAGATCAACACGGCTACGCTTCCGCTATCATACGAGGTTAGGTTTCTCGTATACTGTGGTTCATATAGTTAGACTATTGTATATCTAACACTAACAACCTACCAAAAGTACAAGATCATGTTCCAAATTTAGAAAAAACAAACTATTTTATTAAGGAAATACACCTACATAAATCTCTATCTTTGTTGCATCGAAATCTCGTCAATACTTATGAAAATCCTCCTCAATAACCACTTGACAACCTAACCCGAGGATCTAGTGGTCTAACACTCTCTCAGATGCTTTCCGACCAACCACTCTAGGGTTGACCATTTGGATCTCAGTGCCCTATTCATCAATTCCATCAAAATTTTCTCATTTTTAATGTATGCACTGTTTTAAATTATAAATGATTGTGAAATTAAGTTTTTAAATTTGCTAATTATGCACAAATTATATAGGGTATTTTTTGTTTTCTTCTCTTTTCTTTTTGGTGTACAATTTACTATGAATTTTTAAGTGATAGTTAGAATAACCTTATTTGAAGTGTTGGTGAACTTAAATCATGGTAGATCACTCATAGTCCCATTGTCAAATGATTAAGATGGGAGAGGGAGACAACAATCTGCATATGCATATTATAGGGGCAATAATGCAATATGGGAGCAACCTCTCAAAGTGAGGGGTTTCTTGTGCGCAGTGAGCAAAGGTCTAACCTCTGTGGTTCATGTTCAGTTAAGTTACCATGATTTACATCCTCATAAATACTCTGTCAGGTCGGAGTGTAGGACCCTTAAGGTTGGGGTTCAGCCTTTTGGAAAAATATTATAGGGGCAATATGACATTTGTGTAGAAAGAATATTATAGGGGCAATATTAGGGTTGGGGTTCAGCATTTAATGATATTCGATTCACCACATTTATAGAAAAGTTAATTTCTCTACAAATTGAATTACGAATTCCCACACCAAGACTATGTGGTTTAATGGTATCCAGGTTGGATTTCCATTTGAAATGTTATGAGTTCTCGAGCCTCAGTGGAGGCGTTATTGGTTCTTTGTGTTTCAGTAAATTGAGAATGTATATGAACAGATACTACAATGTAATAGGGTCAGAAACATTCAAAAAAAAAAAGAATTACGAATTACGAATTCCCACAATCATAATGAACATAAACTTTGGTATTTTGAGAAACCTTCAAAAGGAATTAGATTTTTTTTTCCTTTGCTGATCTTGTTAGTGTTTTACAACTTAGATTGATGTTATGTTTTTTTATTATATTTATTCTGTGGTACCTAAATTATATATATTTCCTAGAAAAAAATGACACTTTTTTCATGAATTATATGATTATAGCGTTTTTGTCCCTTGAATTATTCATGTATTTATAATTTATATTAATCCCCTCAATTATATTAAAAGTAGCGGATTTTTCTATTTTATATGGAGTATTAAATTGACACTTTTATCCTTAAAAATTAAGTATTTCATTTTTTTTCTTAACAAATCATTGCTTATATGCGGGCTTATATGCGGGAATCATAATAAATGTGGAAAGAGCAAACACCATTTGTAAATATTATAATTATAATTTTAAGATAATGCTAGAAAAAAATTAAGACTTCAACACAAATAATTTATTAATGTTAATTAATTATAACACTAATATTAATTTTACTAGATTTGATCACGGTTCTAGTTCTGAGCCGACGGTTCATGATTTTGAGAAATGAAAAATTGGCGATTCCGATTTGAATCGCCTGTTCGAACCTTTTTTGGGTAAATTATATTTTCTATTTTATAATAATCCAAATTCACTTATTTGTATTCTTTTTTTTTTTTTTTGGGTTAGAAATCGGAGGCGGTTCCGATATTCAATTTTAATAAACCCAAGCCGAGATTGTTTGGGTTCTGGTTCTAAACTGCAACAGTAACCGTTCTTACGATTTCGATTTCAATTCAATTCGATTTGCTGTGGTTATCTTTAAATGTTATTAACATTAGCTTAAATTTTTAATTATAATATTTACAAATGATGTGCTCTTTTTGTATTTATACTGATTCATAGATGTAAGCAATAATTTGTTAGAAGACAAAAATAAATGAAATATTTATTTTTAAAGATAAAAATGTACATGTAATAGAAAATTGAAAAAAATCCTCACTTTTAAAATAATTGAAGTACAAAAACTCTATAAACATATAATTCATAGAGAAAAAATGTCATTTTTCATATTTCTTAAAAAAAAAAAAAAAAAAAACCATACATTGAGGGATTAAAACATTGAGGCATTATTATTCAAGGAATAATGTGCCCCAAGGCCTTACAGTCCGTCAAAGATTTTTGTTTCCCGCCCTCACACAAAAATAATCTCAACGGACAACGGTACAAACAGTTGTCCCCAAGTCGGACTTTAACGGAACCCGGTTTTAGATCCAGCAGAGGACCCGGGATTGCTCCGGACAAGTAGTTGCTTCCGAGCAGCAGCCTCTCCAACCGCGATACCCCTGGACCCGGCTCCAACACCTTCATTGCGTATTGGGTCGGTATAATACCCGACAACTTGTTGTTCTCCAGTGAGAGAGACGATAATCTGGGCATTAAACCCATGAACCCGGGCAAGAACCCGCGGATGTGGTTGTTGCTCAAGTCCACCGCAATAAGTTGGGAATCGTGAAACCATTTCCCGGCGGCGGGTTCGTCGATTGACCCGAATTGGTTATGTGAAACGGTGACCTGTTGGAGAGACGGGTGGGTGAAAAGAGCCGCCGGGATTGACCCACTAAGTTTGTTGTGACTCAGGTCCAGTACCTCTAGAGAGAGCAAGGCGGTTACGCTCGCCGGAAGATTTCCCTCCACCGCGTTGTTCCTCATGGAGAGCTGGACGAGAGATGCCGGGAGCTCAGCCGGAAGCCCGCCGGAGATCCCGTTGTTGCTGACGTCAAGGAAATACAGGGTATTCAACCCAGTAAGCTGGGGAAACTCCCCGGTGAGGTTGTTGCATTGAAGGTCGATGCGTTTAAGGTTGTTGAGACGGTTAATACTCGAGGGGACCGTTCCTTCAAGGTTGTTATAGTCGAGGTAGAGCTCTTCAAGCCCCGACAGCAACCCGAGTGACGGGGGGATGGGCCCAGAAAATAAATTATGCGACAGAGTGATTCGCCGGAGGTTTAGGAGGTGAGAGAGGGAGTGAGGGATAGAGCCATGGAAAGAATTGGCGGAGAGGTCAAGAGTTTGGAGGTAAGGGAGGTTGTTCCAAGAAACGGAAGTGAGTGAAGCGGAGTAACCCCAGTGATCAAGAGCGAGTTCCGTGACTCTGGCGAGGGAGGAAACGGCGACGTCGCATCGGAAGCCGCAGGTGAAGTTTCCGGTGAATAAATTGTCGCAGGGATCGAGGGAGAAGTCCCAGGAGGCAAGACAGGAACCGGGAGTGATTGAAGTGGGATCCACGCTGTTCTTGAGCTGCTTCAACACCTCCACGTCTTGCCAGTGCGTTGTTGAATGCACATGCAAGTGCAATAACAGTAACTGAACAGAAACCAATACTATATCGAAACGTGAAGTAAAGAAACTAACCATTTCTTGAAATCCTGATATTAATGACTAATGAGGTTCAACTCCACCTAATATATATGGATAGATGACAATTATCCTGAACGAACTGTTAGGCAGGGTCCCAGATTTCTCATATGAATATAAACAAACCAAATAGGTGCATGACAAATAGCTCATTTCTCTACCAAATATCGGTAGGTAATCTTATCATTGCATATAATAACGCTGGCAGTATCACTCTTCATTTGTTTTAATATGTATTTTGGTTATGAAGTGCAAGCTGGTGGCTTTGGTTTTGCATAATGCAGGCAAGGGGCCAAATTATCACAATTTTCAACTATTTTTTCACCTAATATCGGAATTTCTTGTTGCACCAAGCTAGGTTGGCTTTTTAATGCCGGATTGAAACTAGAAGAATCTGTCACCAAACGCATCATGTGCAGTAGTTATAAAGCATCCAATAATCAACTGACTCAGCATTCAACAAACTTCCTAGCTACCAGTTACTTGGCAGTCACTTCATGTGGGGAGGAAGAGATGAAATTGATTTACTTTCAAGAAGAAAATGAAGTTTTAACTATATATCCGACCATCTGTACAAGACGGTATATGGTAAACCGCAATGACCAGTAGTGACAGTAACAAGGATGTTTGTTCACTAACTATAATGGAGGTAGTAAGTAAAAATAGATAGACAATAATTGCTGTGATGTATAAACAGTATTGTTGAGTGAATTGGAAGCTGATCTAGCCTTTACCAAAGCTTAACATCAGGAATCAAGATTGGATACTGAATTTTCTCAAAAGTTTTCTATAACAGATAAATTTATTCGGCGATATACAAATTAACAAGACTTAGGCCTTCAACCTCCTCTTCTACTGACAAATCAAAAATAAATGAACTAGTAAAAGAAAAATGAAGGGGGGAAGGAGATAATGTATTTAGGTACGATTTTTTTTTTTTTTTTGGGTGGGGTATGACTGAGGGGGAAGGGATTGTACTTGAAACCTCTCACATGGCGTTTCAGGTCTATGGCAAAGGGTGGATCTATTTGCTAATTAAACATTCATGCTAAAGGTCGGTATGTACACATCCTGTTGTGGGCGAAGGGCGTTTACTCTCAGTGAAGGATATAAAAGTCATCCACCGGGGAGGGTTAATTGAAAGCAATAAAATAACTGACGCTACCTCTAAATGGTTTTTATCTGTTCAGGCCTCCCCCTCAGGTGACCAATCAAATTTGCTAAGCTGTGCTTTGTCTTTCTGTGAAATGCTGTCCAAGTACCGCTGGACATGCTTTCTGTTGATTTCAAACACAAAGCCCATTCCTTTGATCTACAAGTACACAGTTATCCATGAATTAGTCAGAGAAGTTCTCAAAGGTAGGAAAACACTATAATCCAAAAAGTGCACGAGTCCATGATTCATAAGCAGAGATTGCAGTGGGTTTTGGCACTGTTTTGCTGTGCTTATTTGGCAGGCAGCCTATTGGAACTTTTCTACTCCAAAAAGCATAAATTAGAGGTTTAAAAAGGACCTCTTTTTCAAGAAGCTCCACAGTTGAGACTTTATCACCAAAAAAAAAAAAAAAAAAACCTCTTTTTAAAGAAGCTCCAGCTGGACAAGCAATTTAATATTCTTCAAAAATGTGTTACCTAATTCAGCTATCCTAAGAATACACCATTGACCCATGTGCTTATTTAAATAAATAAATAATCTTCAAATCCCTAAAAAGTTAATATGCTAAGTAGTATATTTAGTTTGGTTTATGTCAAGCACCTCAGATTCTTTAACAGGTAGAACTATGGCATCATAGCATAATCATGCGAAAGTATTTCTACATTGACTGGTGCGTGAATATAATGCCATCTTCAAATGTCATACTTATAACTTAATGCAATCCTTGCACCAAAAAAGTAACATACATCAATTGTCTATAAAGAGGGAAAAAAAAGTCATAGGGATAAAAGTAAAAGGGGAACTGTAAGAATACCAAAATCAAAAGTGTGTACAAGAATGTGAAAATAAAACCATGTAAGAAATCAGTTCCTTAACACACTGTGCACCTAAGAATTTGGTGAAGAGATGAGACGTTCATGCAAAAGGAGAAAAAGTACGGAAAATAAATTATTAGTGGTGTTTCAGTTGGTCTTTCTGTTTGGATCAAATTGAAAATAATTAATGAAAAATGAATAGTTACAACTAGGAAGATCAAAGAGAAACACATTAAGCTTCAAATAACAGTCTTCAATTTCAGAGCTTCCTAGGGCCAAATAAGAGAGAGATTCACATTGAAAAAATGAATGAAGAAGTTGAGGAAGGCTACTCTTAAACCCAGAAAGTTTTTTTATACCCTTCTTTTATTTGCTCATATTTTGATAGAATCTAGACTCTAGAGGAACCTTGTTTCTATATATACTTTCAAGTTTTCCTCACTATTTTCATTGTCACCCACACAGGAAATCATTTCATAGGAAACCCTTTATTCTTTCAACAAACCCAATTTCAAAATAAAGCATAAAAGTAGGAGGGAAGATAAATACCTCAATCAGACAACTAGAACTTAGAAACTGCATTTTTCCAGAATCAACTGACTTGCCATTCACTGTTATCGAACTCTTTCCAATATTCCTCAAAAAGAAAGATCCATCTCGTTCCATCCTAATAATTGCCTAAATATGTGTAAAGAGATAATAATAAACAAAAACTGAAATTGTATAACATGCAACAAATACGGAATGCAGATAAGCTAAGTATATAAAGGAAAGAACCATAAACTCTATACAAAAATTAGCACCAAAAAATGGCTGTTAGAATTTTTTAAAAGGGTGTTCTAAAAGAACAATTGAAATCAAAACTCTGTAGTAGTTTCCAAAATAATTGTCACAATGGAAGTAAGGCTGGAAAGGACTAGATAATCTCACTTGACGTCTAGACACTTTGTTCGCATTGCCTTCTTTTCGCAAATCAATATCAACATCAATGTCATCTGTTGATCTCCCAAGTACAACCTGCAAAGGAAAGCATGTTTAGTTAAAAATGTGTACCATAAGAATGATTCATTGTGAGTTCAACAAACAGGGGACAACTTGCAAACCTTGTAAATAATGCTGAAAGTTCCCCACGCACATACACTTTTCATTATCAAATACTCTCGTCCCTCAACAACTATCATTTCTATTGTGGGATATTCCACAAAAATTGTACTAAGATAAATCATAAATTCAATGGTTTTAGTATGTAGCCTTCCAACAACGAATGTTGTAAAAATCGCTAGGCACTGATCGGGCTTTGATGGGTGCCTAACTTTAAAAAACTGGTTTTTTAAAGATTTCGAGGCCTCTAGCAAGTATTCCTCCCATAAAATACAAATCCAGAGTACTAGGCTGCAGCGATTCTGTGAATGAAGCATGATGCTAGGCGAGGTTAGGTTTGTTTCGCTCAAAACGACGTCGTTTTGAGCGAAACAAAAGATTAAAAAAAAATAAGAAAAAATCAGCCAAGTCGGCCAAGCGCACTTCCCTTCGACCTAGGGAAACCTAGGCAGCCACCTAGGTCGATTTTTACAACACCCCTTTATAGGTATCAAAGCCCCTCACTCTGAAATTAAGGATAGATGAAAGATACAGAGTAATGATGTATCTGTGATGGGCAAGAATCTGGGAAATATATTTCATTTAAATATTAACCATGTATTAAATACAGTTACCTAAAGGGAAATTGTATGAGGGGAGATAGAGGAAATAATAAACAAAAAGAAAAGGAATACAAGAGGAAATGAAAAAGGCAATTAATGATCACTCTTCAAGAAAAATAAAATGAAAATTGAAAATGTAAAATATGAATTATGTATTTATGTACCTCTGTTTTCTTGATGAAGTACTTTAGATGACGGCCATATAAGATGGCAAAAGCCCCATGAGATGTCATGGCTCTATGCATACAAGAACGAGCACATTGTTCCAACCTTATGACTGTCCTTTTACTTTCCTCAGGATGATACCTTATTACTGGATATTACCAATGACAATAGCTCAGAGTTATAAATAGAAGATATCAAAAAGATATATAATCAATTCTTTTATATTTTGATGAAATAGATATTTCAGGCCATTCTATTAGTAATCAGTCACAGAAAACAAATATAGTTGACACTTGATGGCTACCAGGCTAAATGATTGGCAACTGAAATTCTCTATAAATGTATAGTTAGCTTGTATGATGCTGTATTACATTTTCCCAGATCCTATTGTGCATCCTATACACATGGATTTTACAAAGACCAAATTGTTAAAATTTCACAAAATTTACCTTGTTTTGCAGTATATGAGTCTTGATCAGGTGGATCTAAGTCCATGTCAAGTATCTGAAATCCAAGAGCAAACAAGGAACTATGCATCAGCAACCTTAAATCTGAGACCTGAACAAAGAATAACAGAAAGAATTTTAAGAATTACCATAGCTTCAATATCAGAAAAATAAGGGACATCATCATCACTTGGTGGTTCTTCCTGGTCTGATGTTGAGGGGTTGGCTGACGATTCTATAGCAGGTTTAGCAGAGCCTGATTCAGCAAATCGTGGCATGTCAGGAAATGTGTCTGGTGCATCTCCAACCTGCGCACAACACACAAGCAGCTCTGGGATATTAGCATACTGCATAATCACAAATATAAAGAGCTCAGTCTTTGGAAGAAGTTCAGATGCTAACAAAATCATTTACCATTCCAGCTCTAGCAGCACCTCGCTCTTGCACTCTATCAATGGGGACCTCTGAAATTGCTTGCAGGGATCTGCCCAGACTTGAGTCTCCAAGTGCCCTGTTAGCATCCCCAGGAAGCAAGGCGAGACGGTTAGTATCAGGCAATTTGGATTTCACAGCACATGCAACCACTTTATGCTGAACACGTGTTTCTCCTAAAATGGTTTGTCCAATCTTGTGTGACCACCCAAGAGATTGTACAGAATCTTTCCCTCTTATTAAGGAGTTTACTCCTTGTTTAGCATCCTTCTGATTAGCAGCAGATGATGTGTCCATATAGCGTGCACTCCTGGGTGATGTCACAGCAGAACCAAAGGATGTGGAAGGGTGGATAAGTAAGAATATATCATCATTACACGGGATTTCAGTGTCCTCAGTGTTTAATGTGCAGCAAATGCTACCATCACTTAGTTTATTTGTATCAGGATTTGATGTTAAGTTAGATGGCAAATTAATCTCTGAACAAGAAGAAACTTCCGGACCACATGTAGAAGAAGCAACAACCTCTGAGTCGATAGGCATTGCACCATTTGGAGGCAAAGGAATTGTTTTTGAATCCACAAACGTTTCAGATTCATGAGTACATGCCCCACCTTCCTGAATGCGATCAGAAGAATCCATGAGAATAGCATTTTTATCAGATGACTTATCTACTATGTTCCTCACATCCTCGTCCACCATGAGAATCTCATCGTCATTTGAAAGATTCAAAAGTGAATCTGGTAGATCTGTAAAATCACCATCTGATGTAGCTGACGGTTGACAGCATTCCTCACTAACTAAGCATTTTCCATAGCTAAGGGAATTACCTTTGGGCACATGAGGGACTTCACTGAGTTTAATCCTAGGCTGAATACAAGTACTCCTCTCCTGTAATGAAGCTGAAAACCCCTCAGAGAATCCATTTTTCCTCAAAACTTCATTTACTTGATTATCATCAGCTGTATTTGTGCATCCAGTCTGATATGCAATAGAAGGGGTGGGAGCAATCTCACCCAATGCTTCTGGGAAAGCATTACGCAGGATAGTCAGTTCTGCTTCCTGGAACCCTAAATTATCTGAAATACAGTCCCCAAGGACACTTCTGTCCCGGGACACAGCATCATGTGTAGCATGCTGCTGAAAATCAGCTCCATGTCCACTGAAATCATGTAAATTGGGTTCATCCAGAAAACCAAGATCAGAGGCATTGAAAATTTCATTTCGAATTTTCTTTCGCATGGCATAGTACTGTTTGCGGATGCTCATGATTTTTCTCTTTTGAGGAACCTCCTTGTTTCCTTTAATGTTTTCCGATCTATTAAACTTTAAAGAAGGGCTGACACCAGAAAGTTCAAGCTCTATCATACAAGCAGAAGAAAGCTCTGAAATATCAGGATCGTAAAGAAGTGAGTGCCACCGTTCCCGCAGTTCTTGTAATGTGTATCTGCGAGAAAATTGCACTGCACCTTTAGCGAGTGCTTCCAGAGAAGCACCAGCCTGCAAATAGGTGGAAATTAATATCAATTACGTGAGTAAGATTTTGTGACATAAAAGGAAAAAAGCAAAGTTGCAACAGCAATGTTATGATAACTTTGGATGCTCAAGAATGAAGTTTAATTGTAATCATCAGTGTAATGAATAACACAAGCCTCTGAAGTCTGAACCATCCGCAATGTATAACACCGCATATAATTTAATTTTAGCTCTAACAGATATCCAATGGGCAAAATATTGACTCCAGAAACTATTTAAAATGAAAAGAATAAACAGCATGGAAGAAAATCTCATGAGGCAAGAACTCAAGCAAGAAGGCTGTTGAGCTAGTAAATAACAGCCATTGTTTTTCTCTGAAGTGCAAATTCAGCTAAAACAATTTATCTTAAGGCAAGCAATGACAACAAGCAGGTAGAAGCATTAAGAATCAAGTTTACTTTCTAGTTTCTACACAGTCATCCCTTTAAATATTGAGATTTTCCCTTCCAAAGGTATAAGTTCATGGAATTCAAAATGGCATAGGAAAAACAATCTGAAAATGTTAGACTTCACTTGCTCACACGTTTACAGGAAGGGAATTCAAGACTGAGAAAGTTTACTGCAAACACAAGTACACAACCGAAGAGAAGAAAAAGACAGAGATCAAGGCTTTAAAGTAATGTGAGTAATTAAAAAAAAAAATGATCTAGAAATGAAGAAAATTGAAATTCACGAGTTGAAATTTAAGCTAACAATTTGGAACAGCTCATTCGTTCCTTTAATTGCACATTAGCCATACCGCAAGCATTTGTACTTGATTCGGTTTACAAGTGAGATATCCAACTGATGTGAAAATCCAGACAAACTGAATCGTACAACAAACACGCAACACTAAACAAATCGGACTCATGGAAGCTAATAATAAATAAATAAATAAATAAATAAATAGCGGGAAGCTAACAACAATAAACTTTAGAAGCTTAGAGTTAAACAGAAAACAGAAATTAATAAATTCAACGTGGTTTGGACTTTGATATTAACCTCGACGGCGTTCTTCAACAAGAGGTCGTCTTCGGAAATCCAAGGTGGGGTGATTGGAGCAGTGGTTGCCATCTCTGTTCGGATGAACCCTAAAATCTGCAGAAATAATTTGAATCTACCGGAGTTTTAGCGCTACCTGATTTGAATTTTTACCTCTGATTTCTAGGGAATTCCATCGGAAAATTTTGAATCTCTCGGAGCTCACTCCAACGATTATGGTGGTCGTAAAATGAGAGCAGAGAGAGAGAGAGAGCTGTAGATTTTATTTTATTTTATTTAATCTTTTTCCCTTTTGGAAAACATATAAATTACTCCTACAAATCTAAAATTGTACTACAACTTCTTTTCTCTTTTTCTTTCTTTTTATTTCCGTATTTATTATTTAACCACCACGGTAACGTTCTACAGTTTACATGCAGTATACACTGGACCATGACTCACACATCGTTATATGGATTATGATTGTTAAATGAAATTGTAGTAAAATTAAAATTATACTTTAATGTTATTATAATTAAATTAGTGTGTGAAAATTGAAACTAGAAAACAAAGTAAATTATTGTCAAATAAAACTTATTATAATTAAAATAATACTTTTGTATTACTATAATGAAATTAGTGTGCATTGAAAATGAAATTAAAAACCAAAGTCATACAATAACATATATTGTCAAATGACCTGAATTGTGATTTAAATAATATTTTAATATTACTATAATTGAACTAGTACGTGTAGAAAATGAAACAAAAAAGTAGAGCTCAAGCGATAATGTATACTATTAAATGAAACTATAGTATAATTAAAATGATAATATAGTATTGTTATAATGAAACTAGCGTGGAGGAAAAAATGAAACTAAAAAATATAACAATATTGTCAAATAAAACTGAAATGTAATTAAAATGATACATACGATCATAGTCCATGATGCTACATAAACCATGATCCATAGTAAAATTTGTCGTTTACATGCCTTTGGGCTTTCCCACTTCACTTTCACGACATAAAAATGTCATTTGTAGTTTTTTTTTTTAAATCAAATAATTTAGTTTGTGCCCATGACCTTGTAATCTAGTGGTACAAAGTGGTGCGCCTAATTTGAAGGTTTTAGTTTGTATACAATATCAATTTTATTTATTAATTCGATATCACAATTATTGTGTAAATTCAAAAGTCAAAACACATGCAATTAAATTAAATCGAATATGAATATATCAATAACTTGTGGTTTAATTGAAAGTGTTTGCCCCTCCTGTTAAAGTCTAATTGAAATTGAAGGGTGGAAAAAATTTATGTATAAAAGAACGAAATACTAGCATAAGTTGAGAGGAAAGAATAATAAACAGAATATGCTAGCTAGATATAGATCGATATGGAGAATGGACAAAAAGCTTAGCAGTATGGGAGTTGTTCATGGCCGCCGTACACCAGGCCAGTGCTGTAGTTCGGAGTATTCTTTAATGATCCACATTCATTCCTTGAATTCAACCACACAAATTTGGAAAAGAGTAAGTGGCCTCGAAAAAAGTGACAAAATAATAGAATATGATTTTTATATCTCATCATTTTAATTCTTCTTACCTTATTTGTGTGGTTTGTGGACCATTAACGAGTTACACATTCTTGAATAATAGATACAAATTTTCTTCATCATCTCAAAACAAAAATGGGAATAGGATTATTCTAAATTATATGATATATGTTAAGTACTTATGCTCAGATGGCATGTAGTTACCTCTTCCATGTGAGAGGTCATGAGATCGGGTCTTGGTCGTTGACTCTGTGCCCTCTTCATCACTACATATTACAAAGTAATAGAGTAGCATTCAAAAAAATAATTTCTATGATCAGGCTGTTGCAATTCTTGGCTACTGCTAATTGGATTCCCTTTAATATGGCTTATGCTTCCCATTTAAAGGGTGTGCAATTACCTAAGCATCAAAGGGTGTGCAATTACCTATATTGTAAACAAAGTCTTGGCACCATTTGCCTGTGCTATCCCGAATTAAGCCGCCGCAACTGGCCTTGCTTAAAGAAATTAACCTGTGATTTTTCCCAGCACAGCTGCTTCCATGACGCTGCAGTTTGTGAGATCAATTTTCCTGAAAATTTGGTGAAAATTGTATTTAAATACACATATCTTTTTTAGTTTTCATTTTAAATATGGAAGATGTTGCATGTATAGTACTTTACACATTTGTACGCATATTTCCAGGAAAAAAAAAAAAACACATTTGTACGCATATGGTATTAGAATTGTGTGGAATATCCATAGGAAACCAAGTTCATATTATATCACTTTTTAGGTTGTATGATAAAAAACATGTTATCATAATTTAAAGGGTCACATTTCTCATAGATCTTTGGACGTAAAACAGATCAGATTAATATGTAAATATAATACTTATATTAGTAAATATAATACTAAATTATGAATAAAATATTTGTTACTTATAATAAAAATTATAATACTTTTGACAACAAATGTAATACTTTTATATTTTAATTAAAAGTATTATTTTTATCATCGAAATTATTATATTTTCCTTATAAGTAATATTGTACATATAAAAGAAAAGAGTTAATAACCGATTTGGTCCTCCGACTCTCGTGAAACTACCGATTTGGTCCTCGACTATATTTTGTACCAAATTAAGTCCTCAACTTTTTAATTTTTACCCGATTTCGTCCTCCATCTCATTAACAGTGAAGTATCCGTATTCTCCAAGGACAAGAATGTAAATACACACATGCTCTTCATCCCCAAGCTCCAAATGCACCTTCCCATTTCAGAAAACAAAATCAATAAACTAAGTAATCTGTAATCCCCAAAAATTCTTTAACCTTAGTTGGTGAAGTTAGCCTCGCAGTACTCTGGAGCTCCGAGGGTCTTCGTCCCCAAGCTGGTCCTCCAAAGCTTGGAAATATCATCGACCACAACGAGATCGGAGTCCAAGTATATGACTCTGCCGACGCAAGGCTCGAGAATATCGGCTAAGTAATTCCGAGCATAGTTGAGCGGCTGCTCCAGTGCTTGCCGGATGGATTGGTGTGGGAGACCAGGAAATGAAAGAACACATTGTCTGGACACCTGGAATGTTGAAGAATCGAATGAACGACCGTGATTGAGCCTCTGAGATACTCCACATCGAGAGTAATCGCACCGTGAATGAGAGACAGATCACCAATGACGATTTTCCCCAATGCGGAACCGCATTCGCCGCCGCTCAGAAACAGAGGGGCTTTCCGAAAAGAAAATCGACCGAGAGCATCGCTGGAATTATGCAATCCGAGATAGGAGTCGAAGTTAGACAATCTGATGGCTTCTGCCGACGGGAAGGACTGCAGCGACGGCGAGAGCACAATTGCCACCACTACAGCAGAAACAAACCACGAGGAAGAGAAACCCAATGAGTTAAAATCGTTTTAAGAATGCAAAAATACAGTTAAATTAAGGGGGTTTCCGACCCAATTTGAAAAGTATAAAGCAAATGGAAGAAGAAGATTCCTTTGTTTGATCCTTTGCAAGTGTCGAAAACCCCTGTATTGGCAGTGTCAATTCGAGCAAGCCACAATTTAATGCCATGTTAGATTCCACTGGTAGTAGAGGAAGAGCGGCGGCGAAACCCACATCGAAACGGCGCTGCAGATTAAGGGTGAAAGTGACGAAGCTATGTGTATTTACATTAGTATCCTTGGAGATAACGGAGGTTTCACAGTCAAATAGACAGAGGATGAAATTGAGTAAAAATTGAAAAGTTAAGGACTAAATTTGGTAAGAATTATAGTCGAGGATCAAATCGGTAGTTTCGCAATAGTCGGAGGATCAAATTGGTCATTAACTCTAAAAGAAAATGTAGTATTATTGATGAAAAATGCAATACTTTGTAAAAGTATTACATTTTCCATATAGACTTAGTATTACATTTGCTAGTATAAGTATTACATTTCATCTTGATCCAACCTATCTCACAGACAAGAATCTGTGAGATAGTCTCACACAAATTTTTGCTAATTTAAATCTAATCTAAAAACATAATAAGTGTGAATGAAAGTTATACCCCTAATTTATGTCCATTTTTTCCGTTAAGTTTTTTTTGTACATTATGCTATAAAGGTTGTACATTAAAATATTTTGGACAAACATACCCCTACTGTTATAACTTCCGTTATCTTTTCCACTATTGTTACCATGCACATGCATCCACCATATATTTTCTTATCTTCTTCATTAATAATAATATATACACATTAAATATTTGAGTTATATGTTAATTATTACATAAATATAAATATCAAATTTATAAAAATGATTTACATTATTATTATTATTATTTAGAATAATTTAAATATCTAAAATCTAAATAAATTTAAAATTTTAATATAATGTATTAATATTGGGCACCTATTTTTTGCGCATCGCGCATAAAAAATACTAGTCATATAATATATGTTGATAGTTAATCTTTTTTATTTTTTTTTTGGATCAAGATTGAGGGGGACACCCAAAGAGACTAAAAGACCTCATGTTCCCTATGGGAAGCTTGGTTAATTCTTCGCACAGTTGAAGCACCGATCTTGTCAAGAGCAATCACACTCGCTAAAATCGGCGGAGGCTCCTCAAGGATGTGGAGCCCTTGTTGAGTTGTGGCCGCCATGGAAGCTAATATGCCAGCCAGGTGATTTTGTTCTCTATAAACATGCGCATATCTGACCTCAGATAACTCCGCCGCTTCTCTGGTACACAACTTGCCAATATTGTGGTTCTGATCTCTCCAATCACTTCCCTTTCGAAGCCTCTCCACTGTGGCTCTCGAGTCGCTTTCAAGGATGATCCTGGTGGCTCCGTAGTCCCTTGCCATGCGTAGGCCGTGTAGGACAGTCCAGGTCTCCGCAGCCTCTATTGAGCATCTGCCTATTTTGCACATAAATCCTCTTTGCCAATCTCCCGATTCGTCTCTTAGGACGCCGCCACAGCATGCTACTCCATTCCTTTTGCAACTTCCATCAACATTGAGTTTTAACCAACCCCTCATCAGTTTTACCCAAGACAGCCTAGCTTCCTCGATCGGTGTGTTTCTGCCAGGGTTGTAAAAATCGGTCTAGGCGCCCGCTTAGCGCCTAACTCGACCGATTTGGCCGCCTAGCGTCTAAGTTAGTCGAGTTAATCCATCCATTTTGGTCGAGTTAACCCGATCGGCTCGGCCTATTTTTTTTATTATATATGTGTGTGCGCGCGCATACATATATAT